GTCTAGCTGTGGCAGCCCAAACCTCAGTCTAAATGAATTTGCAGTGCTTCGTGGTAGAGTAAATTACCCTGCAAGCACGTCTCTGTTTCCTGGGCTTGACTGTTTTTGGCAGCAAAGGTAGTTTGGGTACTTTTGCCGTATGGTGTGTCTCTCTTGACTGTTTCCCTGTCACCAGCTTTAAGTCAAACGAGGTTTAGGAGGATGGTTATGCTGGTAGATGAGAAACCTGGATGAGAAGCTGCTGACAACAGGATGAAGTGTGGCAAAGAAGTATATTTAGCATACATTGCAGGCTTACAGGCACCGGGGAGTGAGGATAAGATGCACACTGATTCAGTAAAGCTAATGCTAAAGTTGGCAGACTGCAAAGTTAATGGTAGCTTCTCTGTGTTCTTGAAACCCTCAGGTCAGAAGTGTTTTACTCATGGATGATGTGGTGGTTACATCGAAGTGAAACTATTATATAAGATAGAATATAGTATTACAGTCCTTGTGTTATGAAAATGGCCAGATTAGAGGGGTCGCAGCTTCTTTTAGACCTTCAAGTCCAGAAATTTATGGAACTGGATCTGAGGAAGAACCAGAGGATGCGCTGCTGCTGTGCGCTGTTCTACCGGCAGCATTCACACTCCAGCAGGTACTACAGACAATTGGGGAAGAATCAGTGAGAGCAGCCTTGGTGCAGGCATGACCATGGCAGGAACTGAACTTCAGGGATCGTGTCTGTGTCATTCCACTGCTGATGTCTACAGACAGTGGTGGTAGAGGAGCACAGTAGTATGTTTTTGCCCTAAGTATTGCCTGCAATTTAGTGACAGATGGCTTTAGTCTCCAAAGCTCATGAGAAATGAAGCAGTGTCTCAGGAGGACTCTGTAGGGCAAGGAGGAGGAGACAGTGAAACTGAACAAGCCTTAGGGCATTTCCACGGAATAGGTTCAATGCTTGAATGTAGGCTGGGCAGAAGTAGTTTCTGTAGACTATATACATTCCTCCATATGATTATGATGGTAAGGAGTTGTGTGGAAATCTGCTGGTGGGAGGAGGTGGAGAAAGAAATTGGAAAGTAATTCTAGAAAACTATTTTTTAGGGGAGCATTAAAAAGGTATAGAGACCCAAACCAGGATGACCAGGGAACAGAAATTGACAAATAGATTATGAGCTGACCATGTTCCAGAAGCTAAAACTGTGTAGTTTAGCAAAGGATGGAGAAACATCTCTGTTTCCTGATAAGGACAAACAGTATTGAATATGTTATCGTACCAGATGTTTTCCTTTCTAAAAGGTGGGATAAATAATGAGTTATTCTTTGGGGTACTTAATGATTAAGAGGCAGAATTTTGGTTTGGTCAGAGAGTGAAAGTGACATTTTAAAGGAGGAACTATAAGGTGCAGCTGTGTTACCTTGGAAACAGTGAGAACCTTCATTAGGCAGGTTGCTGTTAATAAATAACTAATTAAGAATACTTGTAACAAAGCATACATCATGCAGTATTACATCAGACTAAGTGTGTATTACCCTGAAGTCTAGCTCTACTGGGACAGACCATTAGCTAGTAAAAAAAAAATAAAATACAGGTTCAGTCATGTTGAAGAACATTAATAATTTAAAATAAATGAGGATGGGGGCTCACTGATATCAAGATCGCTATGAAAGGCTGTCCAGCTCTGTTAGATTGCCACAGTATGTACATACAGGGAAGGGAAATGGGATGAGAAGAATTACATACTCTTTTGCTTAAATACAATCTAAAAGCTGCATAGAGTGCCAGCATTCGACTCAAAAAGGACCTTTGCTTAACCAAGGGGGAAGAATCCTTAGTATATGAAAAGCTGCACTATAGGTTAAACCAAAGGTCTATCTAGTCCAAGACTTTATTCCTTCCACTAGTAGGTGCTTAGAGAAAGACTCAAGAACAGGGCAGGGATTATTTAATCAGTGCAGTAAACAGACCCCGAGGGGTCAGAAGTTTAGGGCCTTTCTGAACTTCGAATACATCCAAAACATTTTGGTCAACCTTGTTTAAAGGTTCTTCAAAAACAATTGCTTTTTTAATCTTTCCAGACATTTGGCATCCAGAACCATCTTGTTACAATGAGTTTTACAAGTATAAATCATATGGAAAAGTATTTTCTTTTGCTTGATTTAGAGCAGCTGCCCCATAGTTCTTGTTACATGAGAAACGGTGAAGAATCATTCCTATTAGCCTGAATTCTGTTTTGTACATTGGTTGTCTCTTTTCCAACTGAAAACCCTGTTTAGTTAGCTTTCTCCTCATAGAAAAGCTGGGGTTTATACCTTTGCTGTTTTTACTCTGCCCTTTTTGAAGGAATATTATAAATACAGAGTATACAGACACTGGCTGTACTATAGGTTTATATAGCAGCACGCTGTTATTTCTGTTTTCCTAATGAGCTCATCACAGCTGTTTGTTTGATTACCCTTGAACAGTGAGATGGGGTTTTCAGAGGACTATTTAAAATGACTCCAAGTTCTCTTTCCTGAGAGGCAATAGGTAATTTATAGTTCATCAATATGCATGCATAGTAAAAGCTATTTTCTCCCCATGTGCTTTGTTTTTTAGCAACATTTAATTTCAATTGCCATTTTAGCTGTGATTTAGTCACTACTGTGAGATCCTTCTGTGATTTTTTGCACTTGATTCTAGTTTTAACTATGAGTGAATTAAGGGATTCTGATTTAAGAAGATACTGAGTAACACAGATCTCACCTCAGAGCAGCGGTTTCCCTCTATTTGAAAAGTGGCCTTTTATTCCTGTTTCGTTTCCCATCTATGAACTAGTTTATAACCTGTAAGAGCAATTCCTGTGTTATCACATCACGGTAATCCTTCTAGCAGCAGTGAAGAATGTTTGGGGATTTTGTGAATTTCTCTTGGGGACATAGCCTGTTGTCCCTTTCATTTCAGAAACTCCCTGATGACTGTACCATTGTTACTTGAGTTTTATTGTATCCAAAGGTATGGAGAGGCTTCTCTATGCCTGTGTAAGGCTGCTTCTCTTCCTGACGTAATTCTCTTGCAATAGATTCTGTGGAACACAGGAAAAATTAGATTCATTACCTATAATGTAGAACACATACAGGTAATGTGTTGCAGTGGCTGATGTGGTGACACCGTTATTTCATCAAAACATTTTGTTCCACTCTTCTGCACTGTCACTGCAACTGATTATGAGGAGACATGAAGGGGTCTCATCTTTATCTCCAGCAAGCAGTGTCTGAGCTTCCTCAAGGAGCATGCCTTGTTTGTTCCAATGTCCTCTGCAAACTGTGGTCATCAGAAGTAGTGGAGTTGAGCCTAAGGATGAGGATTTTCAGATTGTGGTCATGGTGTTTCTTTCCATAGCAAACAAGGATTGGGGAATTTTACATGAACATCTTAAGGAATAGCTCTGACTTGGAAAAGTAGTCACTCTAAAATATTTTCGGTTTATAAAATAACTGAGTACATAATCTTTGTCTATACTGCAAGAGATGTGCATTGAATGTTCCACCAATGAAACACTAAATTAAACTTCAAGTTTCCAGGCTGCAGTGCTTCAGTATTTAGCTAAAACGTGAGAAGTTTAACCACCCAAAATGCAGGATCGGGTTGCCCAACATTTCAGCTACCCAACCGCAACACATATGGTAGGATTTTCCAGAGAGAAAACTGGGAGAATCTAAGTTAGGGGCCCTCCTCTCTATGCTGATTTACACGGGGAATGTAGACCTCTAACTGCATGTGGATTTAGATGGTTTGGGCATCTTCTGAGGTGCAGAACACGGGAAGCACATGATACTCAGTACACTCAAAAAATCTCTAGTGCACAGGATTGTAAAACTTTCCACAGGGTTAAAGCACAGGAGCTAAGCTCAGTTCGTATTTTGTCACAGACTCTGTGAGCTGCTCTGTGTTTCAGGTCTCCAAATATAAACTGACAACAATAACTACTTCTCTGGTATGCTGTGCAGATACGCGCTGTAACAAAACTGAGGCACTTGGCTAACACAGCAAGGATGGCCACTTAAGTGATTTGAGGGTTTGTAACCACAGAGCTTTGTACTGAGCTGACTGTTCAAGGACCTGCTTAGCTTTTCACAGTGATCTCGAGGTTACATCCTCCGTTTTCAGGAGCTCTGACCTGACCCACAATATTTTGAGCGAAGTCCGGATGAATGACATGGCTGGCATGTTGACACACATGACGCGCAGCAGCCTGTGCCGTGTGTTGGGCAAGCCCGTTGTGCTCCTGGCTGCTGGGCACACCACCCAGTTCTTGGTTTTTCCTTGCGTGTGGGCAGCGCTCTGTGCCGCTGGTGTACTGTGGCACGGCCGGCCACCCCCCCCGGGTGCCACGTGTGTTGGGACAACGGGCAGCGACGCGCATCAGCCTGGGCCAAGCAATCCCCTCTCCGGGGCTGCGCTCGGTGACAGGGTCAGCCACCCGCTTCGTCACCCGAGCATCCTCCTCTCCCATCCTCCTCTCCGGGGGTGTTTCTACGCATGGGCCCCCTTCACACGCGTGTGCGCCACGTGGCGCCTGCGAGGCCCGTCAGGCCGGGGGGGAGACGGCGTTTGCACGGCTCCCCGCTCTCCCCGCCCCACGCACAGTGGTGGTGCTGAGCCCGCCCACGCACACGAGGGGGACACCCTCTCCCAGAGCCACTCGGGGTGTGTGTGGGTGGGTGTCTACACGCTCGCCCCGCGCGCACCCACTGCGCTCCCTCCTTGGAGGGGGGGGGGGGGGGGGAGGTGTCACCTCTCCCGGCCACTCAGCACGCGTGTGCGTGTCACGGCTCGCGCTTCGTGGGCACTCCCGCGCGCACGTTACGCCTTCCCCCCCCTCCCCCGCCTTTCGCCCTAGGTCTCCGCGTGTGTGTGGCACCGGCCCACGCGGCTCCCACCGCCGGGGCAGCGCCCAGCTCTGGGGCGGTGGGGGGGGGGGGTAGCTCGGGCAGCCGCGGGTCACCAACCGCCGCCCAACGCCCCTCAGCAACTGGCGAGGAGGCGGCGCGGCCGTTGCCTCGCCCGGCCCCTTCTCCCCCGGGCGCCGCCCCTCTCCGCGCCGCCTGTGTGTGAGTCAGGGCTTTGCGGGGCACGGGCGGCAGCGGCGGCCGGAGCGGGCTCGCAGGCGGCGCCGCCGGGGTTCCATGGAGAAGGCGGCAGCGGTGAGCGACGGCGGCGGCGGCAGCAACAGCAGCAGTCGCAGCAGCAGCCGCCCCACGTCGGCGGGTTCGTCTCCCTCGTCTTCCTCCGCCAGCCGCGGGCTGCCGGGCCGGGCGGCGGCCGCGGGGAGGCTGGATGGAGGCGGGGGGGCCGGCGGCGGCAGCAGCAGCCCCGGCTCGGCGGCGGCCAGCCCGGGGGGCGCGCAGGCGGCCGGCGGCGGCCGGCGGCGGGAGCCGGTGCTGGAAGGGACCCTCAGCAAATACACCAACCTCCTGCAGGGCTGGCAGAGCAGGTAAGCGCCCGGGCCGCGTCCTCCCGCGCCGGGCGCCGCTCCTCACCCCCGGCCGCCCCCAAGATGGTGTCCGGGCAGCTGCCCCCCCCCCCCCCCTCCCCGCCCCGAGCCGTCCCCTCCCCGGCCGCCGCGGGCAGGTAGGCCGGGCTGTGCCGCCAGCCCTGCCCGAGGCCGGGCTCCCTTCCCTTCCGCGCCCGCTTTCCTTCGTTTTGTTTTTGCTGGGTTTGTTTTCCCAGCCGAAGGGGCGGCAGGGCACCAGGCCGGGGGGGGGGGGGGGGCCGGCCCGGCGGGAGCGGTGGCCCCAGCGCTGCCGCCGCAGGTGCGGGCGGGGGCCGGGGGGGGCAGCGCTGCCCGGGCAGATTTCCCGGCAGCGTGCCGCCCTAAAGCTCCTCTTCTGTCGCGCTATTCTCCTGTGAAGTTATCTTGGATAACTAAAGAATGAAAAACTGGGCGCGAGAGAGCCTTCTAAAATGAATGGGGAAAATGCCATGCTTGTGACTTGTACTATTTTTTTTTTTTTTGCTACGGGGTGGGACAGTGGAAACAGTTACTTGTGTGTTTAGTAAGATCTCTTATGTTGCTCTGTCCTTCCTGTTTGACAAGTCCTCATTTATGTTGATACGGTGATGGGCCCTGGTCCTGCAATTTGTTGGGTGTGGACAGGCTGATGCGCATCTGTGGAAGTCCCGAGGAAGGTCCTGTTTTGAATCGAGTGTCTCAGTGCAAAATTTTTTACAGAGTTGAAGCCAGATGGTGGAATTAATAATGCTGTATTGGGATCTCTTGAAATCAATAGAGAACATTTCTTATTAGCGTTCTACTTGTAGTTATTAAACTTTGTTCTCTTAGTGGATGGATGAAGATGGGTATCTAAAACTCAACTTTTTAATGTAAGGCATCACAGGGATGTTTTTGAAGAGAAGCAAATGCTACAGAGAGAACATTTACAGGACTAGTTATACCCTCTGCGCAAACCTTTAAAAAACAAAAAAAACCCCACCAAAACCTGTTGTTTACATTAAGGGATCCCAAGCAGTAGGAACATGGGAATGGCCGGGACCTTGGTGTTCTGACAGTCATTTTACAGCATTTGTAAGGGACAGAGTTAAATTGCACAAATACCAATGATGCTGTCGTGCTGACTTGGGTGGTGCTAATCAGTGGCAGGAGTACTATAGCAGCACTGCCTGAAAAGTTTCAGGAGCTGGTCTGATTCCATACACTGGAGGGCACGCATAGGTGCGCAGCTGTGAGCGATGATGAGTATGTCTGGTACGATTTGGAAACACACTCATCTCCATAAAACTAGACTGCTTCAACGTAGACCCTTTGCTGTCCTTTGGTTACCGCAGATCTGTGCTAGATTCACATTAGACTTGTATCTGTTGATTTATGCAGTCCTCCTGTACTTTTGTTTAAAAAACAAGTAAACACATTTTGATACCTAAAACATAGGACTAAAATGTATGACTAAAAATTAAGAGCCCCCTCTGCCCCTTTTTTCTCCCCCCTGACACCTCCACCTCTTTGTAGAAATGGTGACTCCTTACTGGGAATGATTTTTAAGGGTCACCTTCATGTAAGCTTATGGAGTTACAAAGTAGAAGTCATTGCTTATAAACCTTTGGGTCTAGAACTGCCTGTTTATTGTATTTGGGAACAGATTAAATCTTTGATAAGGCTGTCAGCTTGAAATAGCATATAATTTGTGTATGTGCAAGAAACTTTTATCTGAAAACATAATGGAAGCAGCATAAATGTCACTTAAACAATTCTACCATAGCACTTGGAAATTAACGTCTGTTTATTTTTAGCAGTCTTTCAAAATGCTGCTTTGTTGTGCTCTGTCAGTTGCCAGCTTTATTTCCTGTAAATCTGCCTGTTTGAGCATGTGGTTTATGATGGCACAGGGTTTTTAGGCTAAGTAGCTTTTTTAGTTTGTTCACTTACTGGGTTCTGCCAATGTATCTATCTGTTGTTTGGGATGGGGAATCTGATAGATGTTCTAAACAGAACACTTGAAACTTGAGACTTAGAAAGTTGATCTTATTATGTAATGTCCAGTAAATGAGTAGTGTTCCATGGGTTCAAGCGTGCTTGTCTGGCCTTCTGAGTATTTGTTGTGGAGTGTGTTTTCTGTGGATTGGAGTTCAGTCTATACAAGTTGGTAAGTGACTTCATAGCTAACACCTGCAAATCAATCAAGAGTATACGTGTTACTGAATGAAATACGTGTTGTGTTTTTTTCAGGTAAAGTAAATTCAGAAGATTGTTTAACCACATGATCAATACAGCCAGATGATGTGAAAATAAATAAAATGGAAAAATAAAGCAAGAACTGGAGGAGTTCAGTGATCTTGGATTTGGAATCCTCCTTTTTAAAGCTCCTTACCCATTAGCCTAAATAACTTAAATGTGTTTAATGTTAGCTTATTCCATGTGGTATTGAAGTTGAAAGGCTCTCCTAGGTCATCCAACACTTACTGTGTAGAGTAGGCTCTGCAAGTCTAAAGAAATTATTGTCAGTTGAATTACAAAAAATTAGTGCCACTTTTTTTTAATCAATTGACCTTTAACAGGTATATGCAAGATAGTTTTATTTCGGATGAGGCAACTGAGTATGAATACTGAAGCATAACACTGCATTTACAAGCATTAACTGAAATAATGGAAAGCCTCAGATTGAGTCAATCTGGAGAGCTGTATTACTTCTTAGTTTAAGAATTTATGAGGCTCTCTTGTTTATTACTACATAAATGTATTTGTTCTGCTCTCGCAGGTCAGGAACAACCTGATCTGGAAATGAGGTTGTTCTTCACCTTTATAACAAGCAGAAGTAGATGCTGTATTTCGTTTTTTTTTGTTTTGAGGCAGTTTGTGGTGTGATAAAGTTGCCAAGGGGCCTGAACATCTAGTGTGTCTTCACTGAAGTCTGTAACTTTCTGTGGATTTACACAGGTATGAATGCAGAGAGCAGAATTTATGTCGAAACATTCCATGTTTTAGATTAAGAACACTTGTGTCTGGTATGAGACGTTGGGGCTTCTGGCTGTTTTTACTATGAAATTACAAATAATTATTTTCTTGGAATTGAAGTACAAAGCACTTCTTTTGGGATTTACTTGTTCTGTGTGTATAGGAGAGTTGTAGCTGGTATTTTCAATGTGAGTTGTGTGGGTTTGGTGGACAAATATGTTTCTGTAGAATCATTTCTTGTCATGCAAAACCTATTTTGCATGAATTCATTTGATGTTAGTGAAGTACTTATTGCCTGTGGCATTATCCAGTTATTGAACAGATTGGTAAAAAGTCTTAAAACTCCATTTGCCCAGGGTTCTGTAAAATTCCCGTGTGGTCTCCCCACTTTTTCCTTGGAAATGTTTTTAGTACTTGTACCTGTAGGGTTTTGTCCTGCAAGCATGTATAAGCCCCTAGATCATCCGCATTTGGGCCGGGGCTTAAATTTGGATTTGTAACAACAACAAATGGAGCCCCAGCTGATGAATGTCGTTGCTTTTCTGAGCTGAACTGCTCTTTGTAAATTGTTCTGTAGACCAGGTGTTTTCTGAAGAATTACTTTGGCCTATTCCTGTTTCCTCTCTCAGTTGAAGTATATTGTGTTACCAGTCTGCATGAATCGTTCCTGATGTACTTCCTGTGCTTGGGTACCACCAGACTTCTTTTGAGGATTATTTGCATTCCTTCTATGTCAACAAAAAGTGTACTTTGGGGCAACCTGGGCATTTTTTGCTCTCAGTCTCATTTACTGGGCTTCACAGTGCTGTGGTGTGGTGTGGTCTGTTTGCTTGTGTAGCTGCAGAGAACAGTTGCAATCTCACCGCTGCCACCACAGGAAGACCCTGACTTATTTCTGGTGTCCCAAAGAGCAGCTAGGGTACTGAGAGAAGAACCATCAGACTTTAGTGCTACTTTAGGGGCTGATGACTTTGTCTCCCAGAGGTTAAGCTGCTCTGACTGTAGCTTTTATGGGAGAGTTGTTTTGTAAGTGTGTCAACAAAATATATCAACACCATTTTTGCTATATCACCTACAAAAATCTGCATGTAACTTTTTTTTTTTTTCACTTTATATATATATTCTGGAGAAAGAGATTGTGACCTCCTAGAAGGGGAATTGATGAAGATACTTCAAGCACAGTCATAATCCCCCTCTCCCTCCTTTTAAATTAGCTAGTCTATCTTTTGCAGAATTTTGGGATTGACGTACCTGCTTGTGGAGCTTTGGGGTAGCTAACACCTCTAGTAGTTGCTAATTCTTCAGTGGTACCAGTCAAGTTGTTCTAGCAATGAATTTTGGCCTTTTTCTGGTGTAAAATATGAGTAGATGGTTACTGAACAAACTTTGACTGTAGTTGTATAGGTATACCAGTATAGCTGCTGGGAGGGAATTCTGTCCTAGAGAAATAAACTGTGTTTTTTTTTTTTTTTTTTTTTAATAGAGAATAAACCATACTGTCAGGATTCTATCAGACAGTATCTGAGAAGGAAAAAATAACGTGCTTATTTAATGTTCCTGAAGTTTTCTGAAATGGGAATTTTTTTTGTGTTCTTACTGGAATCAGTTTAACATCAACCCCTTCACTGTATATCTCTTTGTTTTAGTGTGTTTCTGGCATACCTGTATGGGACTTTGTATAGTGTTGTCATACCTTCCAGGATTTCCTTGCTGAGTTTGGGAAGGGGGCAGACTCTATTTTAAGGAGCTGGAGATGCAACCTCCCTTTCTTCTATCTTTGGAAATCTTCCTCTTAAATTTTGTATTATAATTTGTTAAGAATTGTGGAAACTTTATGTTTTCAAGGCATTTTGATAATATTGGGCTAACATTCTATTAAAGATTTTACTTGCAAAATAGATTTTACTAGAAACTGTGTTGTCTCTTCAACATGCAGATTCTGTTTGTAGTAAAAGGAAGAAAACTACTTAAACCCAACATGATAATTCTGTTGAACAAATGAACAGGGTATTTTCTGTGCTGAA